GATGATGATGATGATGATGATGATGATGATGATGATGATGATGATGATGATGATGATCGATGATGATGATGATGATGATGATGATGATGATGATGATGATGATGATGATGATGATGATGATGATGATGATGATGATGATTATGATGATGATGATGATGATGATGATGATCGCGATGATGATGATGATGATGATGATGATGATGATGATGATGATGATGATGATGATGATGATGATGATGATGATGATGATGCTGATGCTGATGCTGATGCTGATTATGATTATGATTATGATGGTGGTGATGATGTTGATGGTGATGATGCAGTTGAGGATTGTGGCGATGCTGAAGGAGATTATGATGCTGATGATGCTGATGATGATGATAATTATGATGATAATGATGGTGATGATGCTGATGACGATGATGCCGATGATGATGATGGTGATGATGATGATGGTGGTGATGATGACGATGACGATGCTACTGATTTTGGTGATGATGGTGACCACGATTACGATGATGACGATGGTTATGGTCATGCTGGTGATGATGATGGTGACGACGATAATGACGATGATGGTTAGGACGATGGTGATGATGATGCTGATGATGATGGAAAGTGATGATGATGATGATGGTAATACTGAAGATAATGATAATGATGACGATGATGATGCTGATGATGATGATGATGGTGGTGGTTGTGGTAGTGATGATTATGGTGTCGGTAATGATGATGATGGTGGTGGTGATGCTGATCATGATGGTGATGACGATGATGATGATTATGATGATGATGGTAACGATGGTGATGATGATAGTGATGATGACGATGATGATTATGGTGATGATGATGAGGAGGATGAGGATGAGGATGAGGATGAGGATGAGGATGAGGATGAGGAGGATGATGAGGAGGATGAGAATGAGGATGAGGATGAGGATGATTATGGCGATGATGATAGTGGTGGTGATGACGATGATGACAATGATGATGAGGATGATAATGAGGAGGAGGAGGAGCAGGATTCCTTTCGAACGCGGAAGCGCCGAAACGCTTCGTCACCAAAAAGGCTGGCTCGCACGGGACTCTGATTTAGCCCGTAGGTAGCCTCGCTTGCTAAGCGCTTTCGAGCCAATCATGACTGAGGAAAACATGCAGGAATGTCTCGGCGACTCCGAAGGGCGTGGTTTGCAAAGGATGCGGTCTGCAACCCACACCCTGAAGGGCTGGCGAGGACCCCGAGAGAGTTCTCCGCTGCGCCCTGACGAGGCCCGACGACGGCAACGTGGTCCCCCCCCAAGCCCCAACGACGCAAGTCGCAAACCACACCCTGCCGTAACCACACCCCTTGTATGAGGGACAGCGAGAGGGGGGGGTCCAGCTCAGGGGGAAAAACATCGACCTGGAATCGGCGATACATCGCCGATGGATCGGCCAGAGGCCCCCGATATCAAATCCGCACGGGGTGGGGGTGTGCTATCGGGCCCCCATCGGCGATGAACGGGCGATTGGGGGTGGAGAGAAATACCCCGTCCCCCCCTTCCGTTGCCCCTTCCTCGACCTCCACCTTCCGACCCTTCCGCGCACCTGGTGCCACCGCGGCGCGGCCGCGGCGACCGCCGAGACCGCCGCTGCGGCCTCGACGGCGGCCGGTGCGGCCGCGCGAGCGGCGCTGCGCGGCACCTGCCGCCGGGAAGGTGCGGAAGATGGAGGTCGCGGGCCGATATGAAGACGTCGTAAAAAATCACGCCTGGAGCCCAAGACCCCATCCTCTCGCCATCGCTCGGACGTCCGTTCCCTGTGTTTTTTCGGCTTCGTGCGTGGTTTTTTCGCCAAATGATCAAGGATTCTCCTCGATAGTCCTCGCCGAAGGAAAAAGTGCACACGTCCGAGCGATGCCAATTTTTCGAGCCGGGTCGACCTGTGAGGGTCCGGGGGCCCGAAATCGGGCCACACCGCCTGGCAAGGAGAGAAAGACTAAATCGCAAGGATCTCAGGGGAGCACTCGCTGCCTGGTCTTGGAAGGGGCCCTGGGACACACAAATAAATACACACAACAAATAAAAGGATGCCCCATATTTTCCCATATTTTAAGGGGTTCTGTCTTCCCCCCCACTTCCCGTATTTTCCCATATTTTCTTTGGAATCGACGATTACTTGTGTCTGTGCGTTTTTTCCCCTCCTGAGTCTTGCGGGGAAGAAACATGATGTTCACCGTGGAGGCCAGTCCACAGAGGCCAGTCCACAAGAAACCTTCCACAAGAGACCCAACCCTGAGACCCCAGGACGCCCCTTGGTTTTTGGCGTGGGAACGTCACGCTCTCCACAGCAAAACCATCGAAACCCAAGCAGCCCAGGGCACCCTGGAGGCAAGCAGGGTGTTCCTTGGCATGGGCCCCCACTGTATGGCGCTGTTTCTTCTTCGATGGCCCTGGAGAGAGCAAATGGTACCGATACCGGTACTCCTCCCCGGACCTCCTCCGGGGTGCATTCTGGC